TCTGATTCATAATATGTCCCCTTATAGTTTCCACCATGCTTGTGATCGATAAACTTTGTGCCTTAATTATCCAAGCATTAAATGACTCAACTATATTAGAGGTCATCTCACCGTAACGTTTACCTTTAAAATGAGCATTTGCCGGCTCATTTTATCCAAGAACCTGTCCACGTTGGGTCTACTTTCACGTCTTAAAGCTTTGATCTTCTTGTTAAATATTGAAATTGTTGGAGCATACACACATTCACGAAATAAAAGTACCAAATAATTGCTCATAACATTTGAAAACCGAGACCCGCTGAACTTGTCCCTCAAGTTTGCCTTCAAATGCTACAAACATAAAGCATGGTGGCACCTCAAAAAAGCCTTGGGCATAACTTCCAACAACCCAGCATTGCAGTCAGACAAAAATGTAAGTTCTCACTTGAGATCCAAAACCTCCGACAATTGTTGTAACAACTAATGTCAATTACTCTCATTCTTTGAATCGACCATCGCATATGCTAAAGGGAATAAACTTGCCAAGTAGAGTGACTACATACAGATTCAACAAAAAAATAAGAGACATTATACATATTCAATTACAAAAAAGAATGATAATAAATAGTGACAGTTTGAAAATACAAAAAAAAACATATATATATATTAAAATGAAACTAATACCTTTATTTCCATCTTTTTCAATAGCCAAAAGAATATTTCCTTTGCACTTTCTTTTAAGGAAGGTTCCATCAATAAACAAAATAGGCCGACAGTAGTTGTAACCATCAATGCACTCCTTGAAGGATACAAATAACCAATACAAATGATTAGATATTTGATCACAATCAAGCACTATTTGGCTACCAGCATTTGTATTATTCGCCGTATCGACGTACCAACGTAGCTGATCATAAGACAAAGAATAATCCCTAAAAAATATTCCTTTTGCTTTTTGCACACCTAACCATGCTTTGTCATATGATATTGTAAGACCATATGATGAACGAAAATCACTAACCACATCAGTTGGTCAAGTGTTCATGTTTTTATGGACCTTGTCAACAATTAGATCTGCTATCAAATTGGACGACATCCTCTTGTTTTGGATTATGTGTAGAGCTACTCCACAAGTGTGTAGGGTTTATAGTTTCCTTATGTAAAAGAAATCATTCACCCTTTGAAGAGTAGCAATGACATGCCACCCGCATCCTGCGGGGTATTTTGACGCACATTTTGCAACAACCCTTGTCTTACAATTCTTCATATAATTGAACTTAAACCCCACCTCAACAGCATATTTGCACAGAGTAGCCCGAAAATGAGTAACACCACCTTCAAACTTTTGACCTTCACACTTGATTTACTTTGTCCACCCAAATGTTAAAAGAACTTTCTCAGTATGGGAACAAAAACAAGGAAGCAAATCGACCTCAGATTCAACTCTGTTTTCAACAATATAAACATCTTCAAGTAACTCATTATCAACCACACTGCTTGAAGCACCATTGTACACAAACACCTACAATTAAATATGATTGACACTAATAAAACTTACTAACTCAAATATATTCTTCATGCCATCATCATTTCGTAGGGAATAATTCGGATTTCCATTACCTTAAATAAGAATTTAACATAAAATCATAAATAGGCTCCCAAAACGAAAGAGTGACACTAAGTAGTAAATTGTACCATCTACTAAATTAATGTAATTTAACATAAAATTATGGAAATTTTAGAAAATTTCATATTCTAGAATGCATGTTTTAGAATTAATTTAATTTCCAAAAATTTCATGTTCCATAATTCATCGATGACCCAATAAAAAAAAATACTCATGAAAATAGTGAGACAGAAGCTTAAAAAAACTAGCCATGTTTGGTTATCATCTCGGAAATAGTTTTTTGTTCTCAAAATTTTAAAAACACCTAAAACCTATTTATTTAGCATTTTTGTTCTCTAAATTTTAGTAAAAAATGAGATTTGAGTCAAAGAAATAGAAAACAAGTGTAGCTTGTTTTTAGAATTTTCTTTAAAAATTTTGGAAACAAGGAGAACAATATATATATATTGAATTTTTTTTTTATGAATTTTTCAATCTAAAAATAATTTATTTATATTTTTTTTATTAATATTTGAATTACTGTTCAAATACATATTTAAGTTGTCCAAACAGGTTTTACTATTTTCTGTATTGTAAAATTATTTTTGAAATCATCTAACTAAACAAATTTTTTATCTCAAAAAAATATCAAAATCACTTTCTTAAAATTCTTCTCAAAAGCTATTTTCGGATACTATTTTTTGAAACGCAAACCAAACAGGCCCTAGTTTAACAGAAAATCAGCAACAAATTCCCAAAAAAAAAAAAGTGATACCAAATAGTAAATCATATCATCGACTAAAATAATGTAATTTTACATTAACTTTTGAAAATTTTGAAAGATTTCAAATTCCATGATTAATCGATTACAAGAAAAATAAAACTCTTCATGGGAAAAATGAGGTAGAAGCTTAAAAAAAAACTAGTTGCAATCTTGAAAAAATTTTAGAATGGATTTTCATTTATCTTTTTGGAATGAAAAAATAGATTAAACATGTGGTATTATGAAAAAATAGACTAAATGTTGAAAATATTATATTTCCAACAAAAAAAACAGGTTTTATGTTTCCAAAAAATTCCAACAAAATAAAAAAATAAAAAAATTAATGTTTTAGAATTCTGAAAATTTCATGAAAATGTTGAACTACATAATGCCGGAATCTTGAATACTTACAGATTAATGACGTCCTGTTTGGTGAAGAAGATAATATGATAATAGGAGATAATGAGATATTCTTGAACCGGTGAAAAATAAATACAATGAGATATTCTTGAACCAGTGAAGAATAAATACAATAAGAGATTCTTAAATAGGGGAAGAAGAAATACAATGAGAGAGAATATGATAATGAACTCGAGAATAAAAAATACTTCGGTAAAGATGATAATGAATTATTAATTTCGCTTTGAAATTTCAAAATTCAAACGATACACAATATGAAATTTTTTTTGAAAGTTTCAAATCTAATATTTATGTATTGGAAATATAAAAGCTGTCAATTAGATATGTACTACCATTGGGTCTTTGATTTAATAGTATTAATTGTTTTATAAAGGTTTCGCCTTCTTGAGGTCAAGGGTTCAAGTCCCTCACTCTCTTCCCATTCTTTCTCCAAAAGATAAAAATAAAAAATTAGATATGTACTTTTTATTGTAGAGGTAAATATGAAATACATTTCATCCATTCAATGTCATCCAATCCTAATATCAGTGCACCATTAAATTTTTTCTCTAATTCCACTTCATAATCCACCCATTTTCTATGAACGCCCCATAATAAGTTAGTCGCCCGACTACAACGTAACCCACTTCGACATCACTAACTTGGTATCTTTACGGGAAAAAAGAAAAAAGAAAAAAGAAAAAAAATAGTGCACATAACTGGGCAGGGGGGAATCTTAATGTTTAATGTGTACGGAGCAATCGAAGGATTCCTTTCTGTTTGTGAATGGTTAGAGACTTTGAGGCTGCCACATTTTGTTTACATTATCATCTCTGTCTCGCTGTCTCTCTCTCACACACACACACACACATAGGGGTCGAGCCAGAAAATCATATCTGAGTGGGCACCAAACATTTTAGTCAGGTTTTAATTTTTTTTTTCTCAAAATTTATAATAGTAAGATAATAAATTTAAGTTTTTGATTATGCTATTTTTAATACTTCAAAATTTCCTTAAAGACAAAATGCCAAAATTAGGTAAGCATAGTGTATAAACTTAAAACAAAATAAAAAATTAATTATAAGCCTTTTGTTAAAAAAAAAATTCGTGTCATTTGAAAGCATTTAGCCTCACCAAATTTTCTCAATGTAGACATTCAAAATCAAGCACCCCACAATATTCACAATTGATTAAGAATCAAATAATAAAATATTGAATATGTAAGAAAAACATTATCGAATTATATCATTGTAATTGAATGAAGATATTTGCAATTTCAAGAATCAAGTCGACCCTGATGGGTTATGCTACAACTATAGGAGGAGTTTAAGAAGTCTTTAAACATATTNATATGTAAGAAAAACATTATCGAATTATATCATTGTAATTGAATGAAGATATTTGCAATTTCAAGAATCAAGGAGACCCCTGATGGGTTATGCTACAACTATAGGAGGAGTTTAAGAAGTCTTTAAACATATTATTGTAATACCAACTTAAATAAAATAATATTAAGAAAAAAGAATTCTACATGAAGTTGGATCAATAATAATAACGTAAATAAATAAATAAATAGTAGATTGACTCAAAAAACGTGAATAAGTTAACAATAAATGACCCAAAAAATATAAATAAACAGAATATGGGCTCATTGCCATATAGGTCATGGCCATCACGNACAACGTAAATAAATAAATAAATAGTATATTGACTCAAAAAACGCGAATAAGTTAACAATAAATGACCCAAAAATATAAATAAACAGAATATGGGCTCATTGCCATATAGGTCATGGCCATCACGGGTGGGCACTAAAGCATTATCGTGGGTGGGCACCATTGGTTAGTACCAGTAAAATAAGTTAAAAATGACAACACAGACAAAAATAAGAGAACTTTCAGGGTGGGCCAGTGCCCCCGCTGGGCCTGTACTGGCTTCGCCCATGCACACACACGCTGACAGACATAAACACTTACATAGCTACCCAATTCATCTCAAGTGTTTCTCTCAATCAGTCTCTCAGAATGACTGCCAACCTTCCTTTCCTCCAAGTATCATGGCAGTCCCTCCAACACAAAATTCACACCAAGAGATTCAAACTCGCAACCGTTCCATCTACATCTATTACCAGACTAAATGGTTGGTTTGGCCTCCCAAACCTTAATGCTACTTCTTTTTCTCAGCGATTACCATTCAGACTCCAAATTATACATCTATAAATTACTATACAGTATATATGTTTGGTTGTAGGAATGTCTAGATGCTTCGAGATTAGCTGTTCATTTTCAAATGGGAGAGAACCGAATTCTGTTGATGATGACTTAAAGAGCGCGGAGCAGCCTCTCCAAGAAAAACGCCGTGCGGAGTTGGCTGCTCGTATTGCTTCAGGAGAATACACGGTTGAGCGATCTGGGTAAGCTCAATTGAATTTATGAACACAACAAAATGAACAAGACCGACTATCTTTCACTCACATACCAGTGTTGTTACCCAGTTTGGGAGAGGTGAACTGGTCCATAAATGGCTGCCGACTCGGGTCGGCTGCCCCTAAATTCAAAAGCACAAATCCCACCAGTGAGCCGTCCACTTCTCCCAGAGCCTGTCAATGGGTCTAACTTGGGTTTGTGTTTTTTGGCAATCCCAAAGTTATTAGCCAAAATTTGTACCACTGAATCATACAATGATCCGTTTATCTTCATTTACTTATTTATAGTAGGAAAAAACATCTGGGTGGGCTTCGTTTCTTGGTAAGGAGAAGTCCCCTGATTCACCCTTGACTATTTGAGCTGAAAAATCAATGGGGCCTGCTTAATCAACAACATTAATGACCTATAAGGTTTCTTTTTCATTCCTTGTTAATCAGAGTAAAATATTATGCGTGTTCTCACATTTCGTTAGTTTCTTTTGTTTACACAATGAAAAAGTGCATAATACCTAAAACCAGTGTATTTTTGTGTTTGCTATGGTTCTTATACTAACTATGATCTATGGTGTTTTTAAAAGCTTACGAGTCTTTTTTATGAATTGCAATTTGTTTATTGGGAAAAGTTTTCCATCACTGCTGAGGAGGGGTTTGTCGAAATTGAGCATACCTAGTGAGGTTCTTGAATTTTTGTTTAAATGGATTGATGCCGGTGAAGATTACCCAAAGATTCCGGAGGCAAAAGGAGCAATAGAGGCAGTTCGGAGTGAGGCCTTTTTCATCCCCCTTTATGAGCTGTTCCTCACTTATGGTGGAATTTTTAGGTTGACGTTTGGTCCCAAGGTCTGACTCTTCTTATCAATGTGGTCTTTTCCCATTTTATGTTGAACGGATATTTATGCCTCATATCTTTCAGATCTTGCGCCACTTGAAGTATTATTATGCTCTTCTAATCACTTTGAAATTTCACTGCAGTCATTTTTAATAGTATCTGATCCTTCCATTGCCAAACACATATTAAGGGGCAATTCAAAGGCTTATTCAAAGGTGAAGCAATTGACCAACCAGTTTGTTCCAGTTTTTGTTTGTTTAGCTTGTTTAAAGTATTTAATGTTCAAGAACGAATTTATAATTTATCAGGCCAAATTATAAGAGAAAAGAAAGTATTCAATTGTAATGAGAAAGTTGACTTTTTTGATTTCCAGGGTATCCNAGTTTGTTCCAGTTTTTGTTTGTTTAGCTTGTTTAAAGTATTTAATGTTCAAGAACGAATTTATAATTTATCAGGTCAAATTATAAGAGGAAAGAAAGTATTCAATTGTAATGAGAAAGTTGACTTTTTTGATTTCCAGGGTATCCTGGCGGAGATCTTAGAATTTGTAATGGGTAAAGGACTTATCCCAGCTGATGGGGAGATATGGAATAGAAGACGACGTGCTATAGTTCCAGCATTGCATAAGAAGGTATCATGTTGGTTTTATGGCTTTGATTTGGTTTTCTTCCCATTCTGGCAATTATTTTGGTGAGATGGTTCCTACTCAAATCCTGCAATTGAAAGTTTTGAATTGCTGGAATTGCATGAGATTGAACATTTTTTTTGTCCCATTTTCTATTTGAAGGGTAATTCTTGCATTGGGCGCTGTTGCTATAACATTACTTATTTCAATTGTAGTATGTAGCAGCAATGATTAGCTTGTTTGGACAAGCAACTGAACGGTTGTGCAAAAAGCTTGATGCTGCTGCATCTGATGGGGAGGATGTAGATATGGAATCACTTTTCTCCCGTTTGACACTGGATATCATCGGGAAAGCTGTATTTAATTATGATTTTGACTCTCTAACAAATGACACTGGGATGGTTGAGGTATGTTTTTCCACTTATATTTCTCTTCATGTGAATACAACTTAAATCCTATTAAGTTCACATTTTCATTTATGTATGGTAGCTGTTGTTTTAGTAACCAGTGTTCATGTCCTTGGTTATACATAATTTGGCTTGAGCAGGCAGTGTACACTGTTCTACGAGAGGCAGAGGACCGAAGTGTTGCACCAATTCCATTTTGGGAAATTCCCATATGGAAAGATATTTCACCGAAGCAAAAAAAGGTCACTGCAGCGCTCAAGCTGGTCAATGAAATCCTAGATGATTTAATTGCAATATGTAAGGTAAAATTCTCTTTGTGGGGTGTTGGATAGTGGATAACTTGTTCTGTTCTACCTTTATTTGTAAGTGCTATACTAGTATGGGATGGACCTTTCTGTGCATTAGCACATGCAATGATGCAAAGAGTCACTCTTACAATACCTGCTTGACTGCTTCTGGTGCAGATGTGCTTATTCTTTTTTCGTTTTTCCTAGTCAGAACTATTGTACTAGCTTGATTTCAAATACTTTAGCCATTGCTTTCGGTTCTGAGCGATATTCAACCTGCTCATGACCGACCCATTCAACTCAAAGCAACATATATTCAAGGATCAAAATATTGTTTCGAAACGGTCGAAACGTCTGAAACATTTCCGTTTTCAAGGAGACCGAAACGAATCAGTGATGAAATCAAAATTCTAATATTTTGAGATGTTTTATAATATTTCAATGCATTTGCACAATTATTTCAAAATGTTTTAAAGTATTCTGAGATATTTTGATATATTTAATTAATGTTTTAGAAAAATAATTCTTAAATTTTTTTTATTTTTGATTATGTTTCCAAAATGGGTTGAAACATTTTTGCAACACATCGAAATGTTTCCGTTTCCTAAGTGACCGAAATAATATATCGAAACAAAATTTTGATCCTTGCATATATTTAAGAATATGCAATTTGGGGGCTAATCTAGATCGAGCAAGGTTTTCGACATCGGGATTCGTANCCGTTTCCTAAGTGACCGAAATAATATATCGAAACAAAATTTTGATCCTTGCATATATTTAAGATTATGCAATTTGGGGGCTAATCTAGATCGAGCAAGGTTTTCGACATCGGGATTCGTACCTTGTATCGGTGGGGGAGGCCAAAGGATTGATATCGTAAGATTGGATTGAGAATCGTAAGATCTTATGAACTAAAAAAAAATGAAACAAAATATATATATCAATACAAATATGTAAAAAGAGGAATTAAACTGGCAAAGTATATATGTAAATGGAAATTTTGTGGCAAACATAAAACTGAAATATGAAAATTTGAGACACTACAATCTGAACACTAAAGAGGATTGAAATTCAAAGCTGGCTACTTTTCAGTTGTTTGAGCTAGAAATTTGTAGTTACGATTTCTAAACCCATTATCTAGATGGATGCAGTTGCTGTCCCACTCTTCTCCTTCTATTTCATTTATAGTTTGTTGACATTATCCCAGTTTGAACTGAGAATTTCTGTATTGTCACATTTGTTCTCTACAGCCTATGTATATCCTTTTCTCTCCGTTTGATGAACTCTGATATTTTTGAAGCACTAGTCTTTGCTAGATTTGATATATACCTGTCAGGAGCTATCATATTGTCCGTCAGAACTTCTATACTATCATAGATGTCTGGTGACTTATGCATCGTAACACCTTTCTTTTACAGTTTTTGATGAATCACTTCTTGTTTCCGTTGTAATATGTATAACTTTATTCAGTTCAGGATTCCTTTCTTGACAAGCGGCAGCGAAAATTTCATGATGTTCCCTTTTTAATTAATCCGTTGTGCACTTGCAGAGGATCGTTGAAGAAGAAGAGTTGCAATTTCATGAGGAATACATGAATGAACAAGATCCTAGTATTCTCCATTTTTTGTTGGCATCAGGAGATGATGTATGGCATTATATATCATGAATGTGCATTGCCTACTCTAGTTTATATAAAACATTCTCATTCATCAATCCATAGGTCTCAAGCAAGCAACTCCGCGATGATCTGATGACAATGCTTATAGCTGGACATGAGACGTCTGCTGCAGTGCTGACATGGACCTTTTATCTTCTTTCCAAGGTTTATGTATCATCTTGCTGACTTAGGGATTTGCACTTATATTTTCAAGCCTTGTGATGGTAAATGGTCTTATGAAAAACTACATGAATGTGTAAGGTGCACACTGAAATGTTTGTATATGCAATTGTGCACATATATAGGTACATTATACATATGCATATAAATGTATGCTTGAGTTTATTTGTATAACTTCCAGTTGTGAAAAATATAATTTCAGGTTGTGGAGTGCTCTTGTCTAAAGTTCGATTTGAACTTTTGCTACTGTTTTTCAGATAATTCTAAGGTTTTTGTTGATAAATTTTCTAGTCTGAGGCATTAATAGCATTTATCACCTCGGTATCTTTGAGCTGTGTACTAATCTTTATATATATCTTTTGTATCTCTTACTCAGGATTTATTTCTCGGTTAAGATCTGTTGTTTTGCTAACAATACCTGCTTGTAAGAGCTAAANCTTCGGTATCTTTGAGCTGTGTACTAATCTTTATATAGATCTTTTGTATCTCTTACTCAGGAACTATTTCTCGGTTAAGATCTGTTGTTTTGCTAACAATACCTGCTTGTAAGAGCTAAAAATACTGGTCTCTAAGTTACCACTTCTATAAGCTTCTTTGTTCAATATTTTTCGTTTCCTTCGTTATTTTTATTGAGCAATCTTATCAATATCCGTGCTTGTGAAACAAAGCAATACACTGTTGAATTACTAATATCATTACAATTTCTTCTCGGTAGCACGAATATCTGTCTCAGTAGAAGTTACCATTATCATTTTAACAACCGAAAAAAATTCTTATTCTTTTAAATTTCTGCAGGAACCAAGTGTCATGGCCAAGCTTCAAAATGAGGTAACTTGATGAGCATTCCATCAATAGGTTCACGGTCAATAATGTCTTGCTGCATAAACTCTTCTTGTTAACAGGTTGATGCAGTTCTAGGTGATAGGTTCCCAACCATTGAAGACATGAAGAAACTTAAATATACAACTCGTGTAATAAATGAAGTAAGAAGTATGTTATTACCTAAAGTTTGTGCCTTTGTTTTGGTATCTCTTTATTTATCTTTTTTGGTTATGTCCGTGCAGTCATTAAGACTCTATCCACAACCACCTGTTTTGATTCGCCGTTCTCTTGAAGATGACATGCTTGGGAAATACCCAATAAAAAGGTTAAATCTGAAAACCATTGCAAATAGTATTTTTTGTGATAGCTTATATGCGAATGCATTTATTCATTGGTGGATGTTTCTTTTATAGATATCAACAAGCACAAAACTTTCAGAAGTAAATTAATGTTCATGCGTACAAAATTTCTTTAGTCTCTTCCATCCATAAATGGTCTATCTATTTGATAAAGCTGTTGGTCATCTTTTGCATGCGCATATGCATAAGATACATGCATACATATATGTACAGATCTACAGTTAGCATCAAAACTCCATAAAACAATATAAAACTATACAAACGGAAAACTTATCCAATCCCAGTTTAGATATCTGGAGCTTAGAAAGTGGCAATTTTTGTACCGAGGAAGAAGATGAAACCTATGGAATAGGTAATCAAGCCTTACACCACTCCTCACGTGCCTATAGGAATCTTAACGTCTATAATCCTATGCATCTACTAACACTGCTATCTTACTCTTATCTTATAGTGAAAAATATCAACTCAAATAAGTTCTAAAAATTAATGAAACAATAACTTGGCCAGTTTGTTTTACATGTCCTCGGTCCTTAAACGATGCTCTCGAGTCAAGCCATGTCCAATTCTATTGATTATATTGATCTCCAGTGCAAACTCAGTTGCAATCAGCAACTTGTGCAATGCCAGTTATGAATAGCTATTCATCTTTACATGTGGTAGGGGTTGAACCAAGGTGTCAGCTAATTAAAATATGCATCCACACTCATCTGCTCCATATAGTAAAATAATCATCAATGTCAACAGTTTCACCATCATAGTAAGTCAAATGTAGCCTAGATGCCAGAACACCAAAATCTACAAGTACAACAAAGTTTTAACAGCAATAATAATAACTCAACCAATTTCACCTTTATCTTACTCAGTAAATTTGTGCACTCCAACGAATAGCATTTACCAAGAGTTTCAAGGTATATGTCATTACTCAAGTTGATCACTCCCTAAGCAGCATCAAGCGAGCCACAATAACACGTGTCTGGACTCTCTCTGAAGCAATGGCATGTGCCTTTGGTGTGTGATCTCCTTCCAGGGATAAGCAGTGACACATTAGGGCAGACTATTTTCAGAGTAGTGAATTGTAGCTCTTGGAAAATTTCCATTGTGTGGCTTTTGCAGGTTTGGACCTACATGAAAGTTGGATGGTGGGACACTTGAAAGAGTTGAAGTCTACGAGTATTGTAGTGTGGCTCTTGGGTGCAGTGCACTTAGNCTTTTGGTGTGTGATCTCCATCCAGGGATAAGCAGTGACACATTAGGGCAGACTATTGTCAGAGTAGTGAATTGTAGCTCTTGGAAAATTTCCATTGTGTGGCTTTTGCAGGTTTGGACCTACATGAAAGTTGGATGGTGGGACACTTGAAAGAGTTGAAGTCTACGAGTATTGTAGTGTGGCTCTTGGGTGCAGTGCACTTAGCAAAAGTAAGTGCGTTAGCCTTTAAGAGTGGTGGTTCAAACATGAGCGGGAGTTGAAGATGTTGTGTTAGGCCCACATAGGACTTTGAAATTATGTGAGGTGAGTCTTTTTGAGTGAATTGATGGGAATTAAAGTACTATATCTATGGTTAGGCCCAATATCTAAGGGCGTTATTTTACCTAAAAAGGTGCCAACATGGCCTTTGTTCACAACCTTCTGATCTCTCCAACAATTGTTATTAGAGAAGACTTGGGACCACTCTTCAAGTGGTGTCAAGCAGGTCATAGTAACCAAATCATCAACTCTCGATGAACTAATAGCGAATGCCTCTTGGGGTGTACTCCCAATGGAGTTATAGTGGCCACACAGAGGTGCATACAACAATAAGAGTGTGGTGAATAGTAGTTCTTGGGGAATCTGTATACTCTTGACAATTTTAAGAGTCAAAAGCTACATGACGTCNCTGATCTCTCCAACAATTGTTATTAGAGAAGACTTGGGACCACTCTTCAAGTGGTGTCAAGCAAGTCATAGTAACCAAATCATCAACTCTCGATGAACTAATAGCGAATGCCTCTTGGGGTGTACTCCCAATGGAGTTATAGTGGCTACACAGAGGTGCATACAACAATAAGAGTGTGGTGAATAGTAGCTCTTGGGGAATCTGTATACTCTTGACAATTTTAAGAGTCAAAAGCTACATGACGTCATCTTTGACCAATCTTTGTCTGAAATCAATGAACAGTATTGTAAGGAATTGTAAGTGAAGGTCTTGCAGGAAATCTTTATTCTTTTAACACATTCAGCCTGTAATTGATTCTCTTCAAAATGCTCTCGTTAATTTGGAGGGGATCTCTCAATTGCCAAACAAGCAGCTATAGGGCACGCACAATGTATTAGATCTCTAGATTTCTCCCAACCATTTCAATTGACCTTGCTCTAGCCAAGTAAACCCTTGCTTGATCGTTGTCCATACTTGAGCCTTGGATTTTGGTTTTAAAACACTTGTCTAATGTGAAAACTTGATGTCTAATGTTAACTAANCTTTGCTTGATCGTTGTCCATACTTGAGCCTTCAATTTTGGTTTTAAAACACTTGTCTAATGTGAAAACTTGATGTCTAATGTTAACTAATAAAAGACGAAGTGTATGGCTATTTTCTTCTCCCTCTTTCCAACTTAGATCTCTAGATTCACTTGTTGGGTGCAGGTCTTGCAGTTTCTATGGCCACATACTCTCTAAACCTAGTTACCTTTACTTCTATGATTCACATAAGGATTGACGCCTTTTTTGTGTCTAAAGCAGTAAAAAATGATATAGCACTTTAAATCCTTAACAACTATAAACCGCCTGAGTTATCCACTTTGGAAATTTAGTAATAGATCAGCATATCTCAGACATATATGAAAGTTGTACTTTTTTGGTCTTAAATTGCAAAACCATAGCTTTGAAGCCCTAAATATTTGTATTGTAAGTCATCAACACTAGTCTCTTCTCTTGTAGAAGCTCAAACAGCATGTGGAATTCAGTTCCTTCATTATATAGTCAGGACTTGATTTATGATCTTGTACCTCTTTTTTCTGGAAGTTTTCACTTGATAGCTAAGGTCCTTAGGTATCTGTTTCAGATTTATGTTACTCAAGTTTCCACAGCTCTTTCTTTTGTCTATTATTATTTTTATGATCATCAAGACCTGTTTGAAATTTTGAAGTTACTTTATCTTATTTTGACAGGGGTGAAGATATTTTTATATCTATTTGGAACCTTCATCGCAGTCCTAACCATTGGGAAGATGCAGATAAGTTCAATCCTGAAAGATGGCCATTAGATGGACCAAATCCAAACGAGACGAACCAAAATTTCAGGTATAATGACTTTATGTAACGTTATGCTTTATATTTAGCTTGAGGGTATTTTAGTTCTTGTGTTTATATATAAAACTGGGATTAGTTGTGTGGTGAGATACACAACGCTGGACGTATTATTGCCTCTCTCTTCTCTAAGTTTTCTTCTCCTTCTCTAAAACACTTCAAAATCTAACTTAGTAGCAGAGCAACAATCCAAATTTGAAGCCTTAAAGTCGTTGGAAGTCGTTGATTTTTTTTTGATTTGAACGTAGTGGCTAATGTCACCTCAGACATGCTAACATCAGCANATACTTCAAAATCTAACTTAGTAGCAGAGCAACAATCCAAATTTGAAGCCTTAAAGTCGTTGGAAGTCGTTGAATTTTTTTTGATTTGAACGTAGTGGCTAATGTCACCTCAGACATGCTAACATCAGCATGACACAATGCTAGATTTTTTCGGAAGTTTCATGGTAGACTCGAATTGATGTCCCTGATATTTATGGTGATTTTCTTAGAATTTTTTGAGAGCATCTGATTGGGTTTCCGATATTTTGAAGATTGTTCAGTTCTTTTCTAGTTCAAACCTCATATCTGTGATTTCTAAGCTTTGCGCCTATTTTTTCTTGGTTTAGTGTCACTGGATGAGGTGCAACTAGGGTGTATTTACAACACCCATGAAATTTTGTTGTATTTTGATCGATCTTGAGATGATTTTTGGTCAATTTTGAGGCTCGGCTATAGTGTTTCACCCAGGTCTGAAGCTCGATTTTGTTGCATTTTGATTTTCGCCTTTGGTTTGAGGCTCCTTAATCACTGGTCAGTGCTTAGCCTCTGATTTGAGGTCCTTTTGCTACTGTTTTGTGACTCTTGGCTGCTATGTGCAATTCCTTGGGCGTGATTTCATTTCATTTTATTTTTTCTCATATTGTGTGGGCATGTGTAATTCTGGGGCTGTTGCTATTATCGGAGAAAGTAGGTTGAGTTGCCTAGGGGTTGTTGCCAATAATCCATCTCTTCAAATTAGCCCAGCTTCGCAGGATGGACACATTTATTTGGCATGTTCACTGACTATATTTATTGATGATCCATGCTATTTCTTTAGATGAGTATTTGACACGAGAAAGTAAGAAGTCTAAGTAGTTTGAGTCTTCCATAAAGTAGTGGACATCTGAGAGCCTTCATCATGTCTTGGTTGCTTAACTCAATTCAACCCTCCATTAGCCAGTGTTTTTCTATTGCTTGATATAGCTCACAAGATTGGACTGCAATGTCTCATACTTATTCTCAAAGGGACAACGATGCTAAAGTATATGACATTTGGTATAAATCTCTTGCAACTTATTCTGTGGAGTTAACTATTTTGTGACAATAGCTCGACTACTACTAGAATTTTTAGATAGATTGTGCAAATGATGCAACGAAATTTCAGTAGATGGTAGTTAAGGAATGGACCTATGACTTTATTGCCCACCTTAATATTGAGTATGACCAGATTCATGTTCCGATTTTTGGCAAGAGCCTGTTTTCCACCTTGCAAGAGACATGCCTATGTTCAATAGGATGAGAGCAAAAGGATGTCTATGGTTCATCTCCCACTCAAGAACATTATGCTTTAGCTATTATCCCTCAGTATGACCTCAAATTAGCCCAATCTAAGTCTAATCACAAGGTTGGTGTCGTTGACAAGGATACTTTAAAGTGTGACTATTATGGGAAGACTAGACACTCTAGGAAGTTCTATTAGAAACTGACAGGACGCCCTACACGTGGGTGGGGTCGTGGCCGAAGTGGTACTGTTTGATCACATGCACACATTATTGTGTCTTAAGAGTCTACAACTCAGTCTAGTATCAACACTTCTAATTTTTCTTAAGATGAGATGCAGATTCTTAGGCGTCTGATGGTTCGACTTGATGTTTCCCCTACTACAGTTTCTAACTAGGTTTCTAATTTCAACTTTGCTNGAGATGCAGATTCTTAGGCGTCTGATGGTTTGACTTGATGTTTCCCCTACTACAGTTTCTAACTAGGTTTCTAATTTCAACTTTGCTCATTCAGGTGTATTTATTAGTATTTTTAGTGTTTCATTCTCGTACTCCCCTTGGGTAATAGATTTTGGGGCCACTAACCATATGACAAGTTCTTTCAGTCCTTTCTTTTCATACTCCACATGTTTTGGTTGGAATAAAATAAGTGTGGTAGATGGATCTTTATCCTCTATTTCTGGAAGAGCTTTAATTAATTGTTGTTCCACCATGTCTCTCTCCTCTGTTCTGCATATTCCAAATTTCTCTACTAACTTATTGTCTGCTAGTAATATTACACACTCCTTGAATTGTTCAGTGACATTTTTTCCTACTAATTGTTTCTCTCAGGAACTGGAGTTGGGAACACGATTGATAGTGGTAGAATACATAGTGGTCTATATTTTTTGATGTTAAAGTTTCTCATCCTTCACTCCAAACTCTTTAGGCAGATGGTGCTTCATCTATTTTTTCCTAGTCTAGTAAATCGGTGAAGTAGACAATTTTTGTTTGTAATACAAGTGCATTTTTCAAGTATAAACGTTCATCTTATCCCATTAATAATACTTGAAAGACACATTATGACCTTCTTGCGTGGTATCTATATCTGATGTGTCATTATTGATTGTCATTCTTGTATTACTTGGTTTATGTACTTCACACTAAGAATGAAATGTTTTTTTGTTTGATCTTTTTCATAAAATGGTGATTACTCAATTTGATCTTAAAATAAAAATTCTTCAAAGTGATAATGAGATGATTACTCTGATGGGGAATTTCGTCCATATCTTAATGAGAATGATATTCTTTATCAAATCACTTGTCTCTTAAGTAGAATGATATGACAAAGTGGAAAAATCGCCACCTCCTTGGGGTTGCTCGTTTATTAATATTTACTATGATTATTCCTCCATCCTTTTGGGGGATGCAGTTCTCATTGCTGTTTGTCTTATTAATCGTCTACCTTCGAATGTTCTCTAGTTTCAGTCACCTATGAATGAATGTCATCTTTGGGTTTTTTTCTGGTCCTTCCATCTATTCCCTTCCTCTTAAAAGTTTTAGGTGTGTTTGTTTTGTACATTACTCCAAATCATCCAAGAAAAAACTTAACCCTAAGGCCTTACGGTGTATGTTTACTGGTTATTCTGCTACTCAAAAAGGGTATAAGGGCTACCATCTACCATACCTATGTATTTTTAACATGGATGTCACTTTTTGGGAATTTGAGTCATTTTTCCCTATTTCCTAGTCATCTCTTCACACAAAAGCGTACCATAATTGAGGGAGAGATAGTATGTCAGGAGCCCCTTCTCCAGTTACCTCTTCAGTGGGATATTAGTTAGGGGGAGAAATAGCCACAACCTATTAGCGATACAAGTGATTCCTCTAATGCTTGTTTTGACAAGGATAATTTGAAGACTTACTTTCGGTGTCAAAAGGTACATAGTATCCATGTGCCACCAAGTCAGTTACATCTCTCAACTCCGGTTCAAGCACCTTCAATTGATTTATCAGGTAATCAACTTCTGGCTATTACTCCTGTCATCGATAATCCAGTTGTTTATGATCTTGAGCTTCCTATTGCAGTCAGGAAAAGTGTTAGAACTTGTACTCCATACCTTATTTCCAACTTTATTTCTTATAATTTCTTATCTTCAGACTATTGTGTTGTTGTCTCTTCTTTGTCCTTTGTATGTATTCCTCAAGGTTGGAAAGAAGTTCTCATTGATCCTTAGCAGAAAATATCTATGGAAGAGGAAATGAAAGTCCTAAGAAAGAATGACACATAGGAGTTAGTGTCCCTTCCTACTAGGGCAAGGACAGTTGGATGAAAATGGGTGTTCACGATCAAGCAACAAGCTGATGAGACAGTTGAGAGGTACAAAGGTTGACTGGTTGCTAAGGGGTTCACTCAGACTTATGGCATTGATTAGTAGGAGACCTTTACTCTTGTGGCAAAGATTAACTCCATAGTAGCTGGACGTAAAAAATGTTTTTCTTCACGGAGATTTGGAGGATGAAATTTATATGGAGATCCCTCCAAGTTTTTTGTCTTAGTTAACAGAAGGAAAAGTGTGTAAGTGTAAGAAGTCTCTTTATCGGTCGAAATAGACCCCCAAAGTTTGGTTTGACGGGTTCTGAAAGCCATGTTAAAATTTGGATACATTCAAAGCCATGTAGCCATGCTAATTATACTATGTTCATCAAACGGATTAATTGTAAGATTATGGGTCTTATTGTATATGTGGATTACATAATGATAACTGGGAATGATGTGCAGGAAGTCATCAAATTGAAAGATCAAATGACTAAGGAGTTTAAAATCAAAGACCTAGGTCCATTGAGATGCTTTTTTGGAATTGAAGTTGCTAGATCAGATACAAGCCTTTTTATCTCCTAAATGATGTATGTTCTTGATCTTCTTGGAGAAACATGTATGTTGAGTTGTAGGCCTTCTGCCTATTGAAGCAAATCATCAATTTGGTATGTAGTTAAAAAGGAAAGGTACCAAAGATTAGGGGGGGAGATTTATATATCTTTCACACACCCGACCTGACATTGCATATGTAGTAGATGTTATCACATAGTTCATGCAGGATCCTCATTTTGAAACAATTTATTGTATCTTGAGATATTTGAAGTTTGCTCTAGGAAAATGGATCTTATGCTCAAATCATGGCCACTTGAAGCTAGAAACATTTACTGAAGCAGATTGTGGGCAGAGGTTCGATAGATGACAACTGGTCTACTTTAGGTTACTGCAACTCGATAGGAGGAAACTTTGTTACTTGACAAAACAAGAAACACATTGTAGTAGCTTGGTGAAGTGCACAGGTGTAGTAGCTTGGTCAAATGTAGAGGTTGAGTACGGGGCAATGACTTAAGGAATTTGTGAGCTTATGTGACTCCAAATATTATTGGAAGAGCTAGGAATTTTTTATGATGGACCTATGAGACTATACTATGAGAATAAGGCTGCTATCAATATTGCCCCATAATTTAGTTCAATATGATAGAACTAAACATGCTGAGATTAATTGACACTTCATTAACGAAAAGTTGAACAAGAGTTTGATTTGTGTGTCCTTTGTGAAATCAGAAGACCAACCAACTTACAGACATTTTCACTAAAGTACTTAGTAACAAGATTTTTCACCCCATTGTTTGCAAGTTAAGCATGTGGGATATTTATGCGCCAACTTGATGGGAGTGTTATATAGTATTTAGCTTAAAGGTATTTTAGTACTTATGTTTATATATAAAAGCTGGGATTAGTTGTGTGAGAATACGTGTCAAGGGTGTTTGATTTCATGCTCCTAAAAATAGGAATCAAACGTGATGTGTGCTCATACTCTACTACAGAATGGGGTGTACGAAAGAAAAAATCAACACCTGGTCGAGTCTTGTAGGGCTGGGCCATGCTACAGGCCAAGGGAGTTCAAAATCTTTCTTCGAGCGATTGTGCGAAACTTTTTCTCTTCTCATTCGAGATATTATGTGTAATTAAGAAACCTATTACTAACTCTAATGAGTGAAAGTAAAGTCAAAGTGGTAGTTGGTTGTTGTTCGTTCAAAAATAGAAATGATTTTCCATTTTTACTTTCTACAATAATGGACTTTCATTTGTAAATGAAGATAGACGACACAATACTTATTACTATTGACTTTCAAAAAGANTTTTCTCATTCGAGATATTATGTGTAATTAAGAAACCTACTACTAACTCTAATGAGTGAAAGTAAAGTCGAAGTGGTAGTTGGTTGTTGTTCGTTCAAAAATAGAAATGATTTTCCATTTTTATTTTCTACAATAATGGACTTCCATTTGTAAATGAAGATAGACGACACAATACTTATTACTATTGACTTTCAAAAAGAGTTGCCATATGTTGGTAATGGGGTCTGTTGATTTGGAATCACGCTCCGTAAGTTTTGGACTTACGACATCGGGTTTTGGAGACCCACATTCTACCGAATTGAACTAAAAGCGCTTTCTTATCACATCACAATAGATACGACTGTAAAGAAAACTTTGTGTACCCCCAATACATCTTGCATGTATATAGGCTCATAAAATGCAAAATCTTATGTATGCCCAAAGAACCCTAGACTTATTTTTGTTGCTCCTTCTCTTCAAGTTCTCTATTCCCTCTATAAACCCTAAAACTTCACAATTTGAGACNCCAATACATCTTGCATGTATATAGGCTCATAAAATGCAAAATCTTATGTATGCCCAAAGAACCCTAGACTTATTTTTGTTGCTTCTTCTCTTCAAGTTCTCTATTCCCTCTATAAACCCTAAAACTTCACAATTTGAGACTTTATTTTTGCCATCTGATATTTTGGTGCTGATTTTTTTTACACTTCTCATGTTATTACTATCTTGTTTCCTGGTTATAGCTGGATGGGTAAGCATTTCAACTGGTAAAGTTCTTGTTAAGTTCTTCCATATAAGTAACACAAAATACTGCTGGAAAAATAGATGCATGCCATATGCCTGCTTTGCTGAAGTAGCCCACTTGTCCACGTAGTTATATGTGGAGTAGAAACGCTTGATCTTTGTTATGAGATGTACATACACGGTTCAGAAATGTAAGTTTATAATATGGTGCTCATCACTTTGTAACAACTAAAAGACTCAATTCACATGATTTCTTTCCAACGTAATTAAAAGGAAAGTCATAGGATGTGGTAATATTTGTAATGTTGTGTGGTGAGGGATTGTTGCCACATGGAGAGCTCGCAGATTGCAAAATCAAAGAAAGATGAAATAGAAATTTTGATAGTTGATAAATATTACGGCAAGTGATGGTAAGAAACTTTTATGTTTTGAAGTTTATGATAGTCTAAATTCGTTAACATGCTTTTATGGATGTTCAAGGATATAATTAGGAGGCATTTTTGTGATTTAGTATATTTGGTTACTTGTGGTTTGATTATAGGGATGGTTGCTTGGCCTGAAGATAATATCCTAATTGTTGAAGATGTGTTTCTTGAGTTATCACCTACATATTATTAGCTAATTTGTCATTGATTGCTCATGAATTGGTTATTACTTGTCGGAGTTATCACCTTCAGGTCCTCTGTCTTAACAATCTTCTACTACTCTGGTGATTACTGGGCAAAATAGGAAATTATTAGTATACTCAAATGCATATTTTTAGCTAAGTTGTCACTTGACTGTTCATGAATTTGTTATTACTTTGTCCGAATTATCACCTTCAGGTCATAGTAAGCAGCTCTTTTTTTCATTCTATATATATTCAATGGAAGTGCAGTCAAATAGTCAAAAATTGATTACATCATCAATGAAGCAAATTTTCATCTGCAAGGTGAATTGCAGGTCTCAGGGTAGACTAAAAGCCGAAGAACAATTTTATTAATTCATGGAAAATTGGTGGTGAAATTCTTTCTTGCTTACGGAAAATCGATAGGTCTAAGAGAAATTGGGATATTTATGGTGTCTACACTGGTTTACTAATTATCAACTCAGAAGTGACATGACTATGTTTCTTGAACCCTTTTTGAGTGTGCTAACTACATATTAGCAGCAATTTCCATATTGTTACGTTTGCAGTTTCCCATCCCTTGAGCTTCACATACATTTTAGTTCTAGTAAAAAAGGAAGTATGAATAATCTGTTGTACTAATAAAAATACACTATCAAAAAAACTTATTGTTTGATTGATTTACCCCTAAAACAAAGTGAAATTTATAAATATAAATTCCTATTGCAAATTAATTATTATTTATAATATAAAACAGGGTGGCTTCAACAAGTCGATCCTACGGTCTCAAATTCATTAATCTAACAGTCAAGAAATTATAATTTTTTTCCATAATATTCTCCCCCAATAAGTCAAAGATTACGGCTGATCTTGAAACATATTTTACGGTCAAATTTATTCATCCAACAGTTAAGAAATTAACATTTTTTTCCTTCCAACCGGTCAATGATTACGACTGATCTTGAAATACAGGATTTTTTCTGACATAATAATTAAATGGGTCAAATTTGTCATTAATATCTTCTGTGTAGTGTAATATTTTGAATTTGTATAAGACACAATGATAACATTTTGATTAAAAAAAACTCATTAATTTAAGATAAAACAAAAGCATGGGCATTGCTTAACACATTTATATTGAATATAATTAATTTTAATTTTATTTATTCAATTAATTTTCTCAAACTAACATGTCTTATATATATCTTGAATCAAAAATTCAAGACCAATTTTTTTTTATATCTTAAGGAAACACAATGCTAATATATTTTTTTAAATTAATAATTTTGTATTAGCTTGTACTAATTAAAAAAATAATATTTTGTAAATGATATTTGTAGATTTTTTTTGATAGAAAATATTTTGGCGATATATGTTTTAATAAATTAAAATTTTAGTTTGTATTAAATTTAACTCGATTTTGATTACATGTATATAAATTAAAAAAAAATTTAAGTCAATTTTATCATATTTCGTGGGTTTATCTATAATATCCTTAATATAAAATAGGGCGGGTTCAACAAGCCTATCCTACGGTCTAAAATTCATTCATCCAATGGCCACCAACATCTCTCTCAAAATCATTCATATTGAATTTTATCCTCCTCTTCTCACTCTTCACTCTCTCTCTCTCTAGCAATGGTAGAGGAGGAGTGGCTTGGGGCCATCCTTAAAAAGTATATATTTTTTAGTTATATAAGTTTTATTTATTTTTTTGGATTAATTGGGTCCACTGCAATGATTTATGAAAAACAAAATTAATTATATTAAACAAGTTGGGAACTAGAACAAAAAAACAAAAACAAATAGTTCATACTAATATCTTAAAATTAGCAAACTAAAATTGATTATTTGGAATATTGGTATGATTTGTTGAAGCCTCATTTGGTTAAAAAAATATGGAATACATAGCCAAATGAGTAAAATATGAAATTTATAATTAACAAAATTATAGAATATTATTTTTATTTGTGTCAAATTTATATCTATAATAAAAAACAGGGTGGCTTCTACAAGTCTATCCTACGCTCTCAAATTCATTCATCCAACGGTCAAGAAATTATCATTTTTTCTTAATATTTTTTTCCCCAACCAGTTAACGATTATCGCTGATCTTGAAACATCTTGAAACACATCTTACAGTCTCATATTTATTCATCTAATGGTCAAGAAATTAATATTGTTTCCTTAATATTTTCCCTCCCAACTAGTCAAAGACTATGGTTGACTTGAATTACAAGATTTTCTCTAACATAATAATTAAATGGTTTAAATTTGCCATTAATATCAACGGTGTGGTGTAACATTTTAAATTTGTATAAGAGACGATGAAAAATTTTGATTAAAAAAAACTCATCAATTTAACAAATTAAAAAAAACAAGGGCGTTGTTTAACACATTTATATTGAATATAATTAATTTTAATTTTATTTATTTAATTAAGTATCTCAAACTAACATGCATTACGCATGTCTTGAATCAAAAGTTCAATACTATTTTTGTTTATCTCTTAAAAAAAATCAACGTTAATATATTCTTATAAATTAATAATTTTGTAATAACTTGTACTAATTAAAAAAAATAATATTTGTAGATCTTTTTTTGATAGAAAATATTTTGACGATATGTTTTTTGATTAATTAGATTTTTAGTTTGTATTAAATTTGGCTCGATTTTGATTATATGCATATAAATTAATAATCAATTTTGATTACTGGTATATGAATTAATATTTTTTTAAGTCAATTCTATTATATTTTATAGATTAACAAGGCGGGGTGAACAAATTCATTCGAAAGTATTAAATAAACTCATCCAACGGCCACTAACATTTCTCTTAATACCATTTATATTGAATTTTACTTTACTCTTCTCACTCTTCACTCTCTTTCGCTGGCAGTGGCGGAGGGAAGAGGGGCCTTGGCACCATCCTAAAAAAAAATATTTTTTTAATTATATATGTTTTATATATTTTTTAAGATTAGTTGGACCGACTGTAATGATTTATGAAAATAAAATTAATTAGATCAAACAAGTTGGGTACTAAAACAAAAAAACAAAAACAAAAAGTCCATACCAAATCTCTTAAAATTAACAAACTAAAATTGATTCCTTAGAGTATTGGTATGATTTGTTGAAATCCCCTTTGGTTCAAAAATTATAAAATATATAGTCAAAAATGAGTAAAATATAGAATTTATAAAAAGATTAAAAATAATAGAATATTGCTTTTATTTGTATTAAATAAGTTATATTATTGATCCTTAATGTATAGATGTTATCTTATTAATTTTTTTCAAATAACTATTTTTTATGATTAATGAATTTTTAAGTATCAAATATAATATAAAAAATATAAATATATCACACTATTTTTACTTATTATACTTAAAATATGTTCACTCTAAATCATATATTTGGCTTTGGCACTGTTTTCAGGGATCTTCACTTCTCACTTTTCTAAATGAATTGGTTGATTTATGTTGCACCGTGTTTTCAGGCATGGGTTACCCCTAATTATTGTACACATCCAAGCATTTCAACTTCTTCCCTTTAAAATGCGCTAGTCAATAAAAATATTTATTTATTTATTTTTGTGATTTGATGGCTAATCTATAAATTTTTATATGACTTAGCTTAAAAATAGTATGAGCCTTATTTAGTATAGAATTTGTATCAATACAACTTAAATAACATTATAAACCTTAACCTTTCATCCTCTTTTCTTTTACATTATTAGCATTAATAAGTCCCTTTTATTGATGGTTAAATTGATACTATTAGAGTAGAGTTGTTCCTATTTTTCAGTTTTATTTGTTAGTGACCAATCCTATGAATGTTCATCATTACATTAATTGGTTTACCACGTTATTTTGATTCACAAGCATAATTGTTTTCATTTGATTATTTCAATAAAATTATAAAAATAAAGCCGAAACTACAATTATAACTCAAAATGGTTTACGTATAAAGCACGTGTATACAATTTAGTCAGTAGCATTTCTGGAAGAAATATTTGGCTTGTCCTTTGCAACATAATATTACACGAGCAAATCAAGTTTCCACTAGGGATATCGTATTAAAGGAAATTGCAAGTTTTGGTACCCCAGTTCGAAAGAATTTAATATAGCAGATTGGAAATGGCTATTTTATTTGACAGTTCAGTTTTAGTTGATAGATTCATTCATTAATGTTCTTTCCTCCTCCCTTTTTACGAAGGCGGCTAGTGCACATTTCAAGATTAGGAACATACTATCGTTCTAGTTCTAAGATATAACCAAATTTGTAAATGTTATTATTTGTTTCTATGCTTATGCTTGTATTATTCATGATTGCAATATTTTCACCCTTTTTTGAATGTTAATATGGTTATTGAAGTTCGCTCCTATTTACTGTTTTAGTTATTTGCCCTTTGGTGGAGGACCAAGAAAATGTATTGGGGACATGTTTGCTTCATTTGAGGTAAGTTGTTGACGCCCGCCTCACTAGAGTAGGATTATATGGTTAGTGGATAATTTATAGACAATTGTATGAATCTTGATGAAAAAATGCAATTTGTTCTGCATAAAAACCATCTTCAATCTGTGTATAAAACTCCAAGCTCTAAATTTGCTGATTGACAGACTGTAGTTGCGGTTGCAATGCTTGTTCGGCAATTCGACTTTCAAATGGCACTTGGAGCACCTCCTGTAAGTAATGTTTCTCTATGTTGTATTTTTGTCAAAACTATCCACACCTTAGATACTGTAAATCCATTTATGAAAACATGGTGAATGAGTGTGACTTGAGCGTTTAACCCCTACATATTTCGGTTAGTTTTCTTTTGTATATGCAGTTAGTAATTCATTTTTTTTTTCGTAAGCCATCTGTACTCATCGAAATTTAAATCTAGCAATTGACTTTCACATATAAACAGAGAATACTTAGTTGCATAAAAGAAACTGAAGAGTCAACTGCCATACATACAGGTTAAGATGACGACGGGAGCAACAATTCACACAACAGAAGGATTGAATATGACAGTTACACGAAGGATAAAACCCCCAATAGTACCCATATTGGAGATGCCTACATTGCAAATGGATTCATCTGTAAGTATACAAGAAGTAGATCCAGTGCTTGGTCAAAAAGATGAAGTTTCTCCTGCTCGTTCCTGATTGATTTTTATAGTCTTACAACATTCAAATTTGCAGTACAATAATTCAATCTTAAGCTATGAACGATGTTATTGAGTAAGGAAGGTGGTCGTTTCAATCATGTGCTCTGTCAAACCTTTTATATATTCTAATTTTTTTAATTGCTTCATATTCCGAGTACAAATGTATTAATTAAGTTTTTATAGTCAAGTTTTGTAATTATACTAGGGGTAACCCGTGCTTGAAGGCACGGTGTAACATAAATCATCCAATTAATTTGGAAAAGTGAAGAGTGAAGAGTGAAAATCCCTGAGAATAGTGTCAGAGTCAAATATATGATTTAGACTGGACACACTTTAAATATAATAGGTAAAAATAGTGTGATATATTTATATTTTTATATATTAGATTTGATACTTAAAAATTTATTAAACATAAAAAAGGTCTATTTGAAAAAAATTAATAAGATAACATTTATACATTAAGGATCAATAATATAATTTATTTGATACAAATAAAAGCAATATTCTATAATTTTTAATCTTTTTATAAATTCTATATTTTAGTTATTTTTAGTTATATATTCTATAATTTTTGAACCAAAGGAGATGTCAACAAATTATATCAATACTCTAAAGAATTAATTTTAGTTTGTTAATTTTAAGAGATTTGGTATGTACTTTTTTTTTTGTTCTAGTACCCAAATTGTTTGATCCAATTAATTTTATTTTTCATAAATCATTATGGTAGACTCAACTAATCTAAAAGAATATATAAAACATATATAATTAAAAAAAATATTTTTTTCTTTAGAGTGGCCTCAGACCCCTTTTCCCTCCGTCATTGCCAGCAAAAGAGAGTGAAGAGTGAGAAGAGCAAGGTAAAATTTAAAATACATGGTATTGAGAGAGATGTTATTGGCCGTTGGATGAGTTTATTTGAGACCGTCAGAAGAGCTTGTTCAACCCGCACTGTTTTATATTATAGAATTCACAAAATATAATATAATTGACTTAAAAAAACATTAATTCATATACATGTAATCAAAATTGATTATTAATTTATATACATATAATTAAAATCAAGTTAAATTTAATACAAACTAAAAATCTAATTTATCAAAAAACATATCGCAAAAATATTTTCTATCAAAAAAAGATCTACAAATATTATTTATAAAATATTATTTTTTTTAANCTTGTGCCTGAAGGCACGGTGTAACATAAATCATCCAATTAATTTGGAAAAGTGAAGAGTGAAGAGTGAAAATTCCTGAGAATAGTGTCAGAGTCAAATATATGATTTAGACTGGACACACTTTAAATATAATAGGTAAAAATAGTGTGATATATTTATATTTTTTTATATTAGATTTGATACTTAAAAATTTATTAAACATAAAAAAGGTCTATTTGAAAAAAATTAATAAGATAACATCTATACATTAAGGATCAATAATATAATTTATTTGATACAAATAAAAGCAATATTCTATAATTTTTAATCTTTTTATAAATTCTATATTTTAGTTATTTTTAGTTATATATTCTATAATTTTTGAACCAAAGGAGATGTCAACAAATTATATCAATACTCTAAAGAATTAATTTTAGTTTGTTAATTTTAAGAGATTTGGTATGTACTTTTTTTTTTGTTCTAGTACCCAAATTGTTTGATCCAATTAATTTTATTTTTCATAAATCATTATGGTAGACTCAACTAATCTAAAAGAATATATAAAACATATATAATTAAAAAAAATATTTTTTTCTTTAGAGTGGCCTCAGACCCCTTTTCCCTCCGTCATTGCCAGCAAAAGAGAGTGAAGAGTGAGAAGAGCAAGGTAAAATTTAAAATACATGGTATTGAGAGAGATGTTATTGGCCGTTGGATGAGTTTATTTGAGACCGTCAGAAGAGCTTGTTCAACCCGCACTGTTTTATATTATAGAATTCACAAAATATAATATAATTGACTTAAAAAAACATTAATTCATATACATGTAATCAAAATTGATTATTAATTTATATACATATAATTAAAATCAAGTTAAATTTAATACAAACTAAAAATCTAATTTATCAAAAAACATATCGCAAAAATATTTTCTATCAAAAAAAGATCTACAAATATTATTTATAAAATATTATTTTTTTTAATTAGTACAAGTTATTACAAAATTATTAATTTATAAGAATATATTAGCGTTAAGTTTTTTTAAGAGATAAACAAAAATAGTCTTGAACTTTTGATTCAAGACATGTGTAAAGCATGTTAGTTTGAGATAGTTATTTAAAAAAATAAAATTAAAATTATTAATTTATAAGAATATATTAGCGCCCTTGTTTTTTTTAATCTGTTAAAATGATGTATTTTTTTTAATCAAAATATTATCATTGTCTTTTATACAAATTTAAAATGTTATACTACACAGTTGATAGGATGGACTTGTAGAAGTCACCATGTTTTTTATTATAGATATAGATTTGACAAAAATAAAAACAATATTCTATACTATTTTTAATTATAAATTCCATATTTTACTCATTGGACTATGTATTCCATATTTTTTGAACCAAATGAGGCTTCAACAAATCATATCAATACTCCAAATAATCAATTTTAGTTTGTTAATTTTAAGATATTGGTATGAATTTTTTGTTTTTGTTTTTTTGTTCTAATACCCAACTTGTTTGATCTAACTAATTTTATTTTTTATAAATTATTGCAGTGGGCCCAATTAATCTAAAAAAATATATAAAACTTATATAACTAAAATGTATATATATTTTCAGGGTGGCCCCAGACCCCTCCTCCTCTGCCACTGCTAGAGAGAAAGAGAGAGAGTGAAGAGTGAGAAGAGGAGGGTAAAATTCAATATGAATGATTTTGAGAGAGATGTTAATAGCCGTTGGATAAATGAATTTTAGACCGTAGGATAGGCCTATTGAAGCCACCCTATTTTATATTATGGATATTATAAATAAATCCACGAAATATAATAAAATTGACTTAAAAAAATGTTAATTTATATACATGTAATTAAAATCGAGTTAAATTTAATACAAACTAAAATTTTAATTTATTAAAACACATATCGCCAAAATATTTTTTATCAAAAAAAGATCTACAAATATCATTTACAAAATATTATTTTTTTAATTAGTACAAGCTAATACAAAATTATTAATTTAAAAGAATATATTAGCGTTGAGTTTCCTTAATATATAAAAAAATATTAGTCTTGAATTTTTGATTCAAAATATGTGTAAGACATGTTAATTTGAGAAAATTAATTAAATAAATAAAATTAAAATTAATTATATTCAATATAAATGTGTTAAGCAACACCCGTGTTTTTGTTTTATCTTAAATCGATAAGCTTTTTTTAATCAAACTGTTGTCATTGTGTCTTATACAAATTCAAAATATTACATTACACAGAAGATATTAATGGAAAATTTGATCCATTTAATTATTATGTCAGAGAAAATCTTGTATTCCAAGATTAGTCGTAATTGTTGACAGGTTGGGAGAAAAAATATTAAAAAAAAATGTTAATTTTTTAACCGTTGGATGAATAAATTTGAGACCATAAAATATATTCCAAGATCAGTCGTAATCATTGACTTATTGAGGGGAAAATATTAAGGAAAAAAATTGTAATTTCTTAACTGTTGAATGAATGAATTTGAGATTGTAGGATCAGTTTGTTGAAGTCGCCATGTTTTATATTATAAATTTTTTAAATTGATTGTATTACTAATCGAGTTAATCTTAATTTTTTGCACAGCCTGATAAATAGATCATCAATAAAATAGTCACAAATAATCGGTCACAATTTATTACAAATATAATACAAGCTTGAAATTTAAAAAATTCTGAAGGTATAGAATAATAGAAACCTGATTTATCACACTTCCTCACAATATTTGCTTCTCCTTGATTATAGCCCACTAGGCCCAAGCAATGAATGAACTTGTGTCAGTTTTGAAGGATTTGTACAATTCTAATAAAACACTCTATTTTATTAGAAATAGCCTTTATAGTGAATAACATGTAAAAAAAATTGCAAGCGTCATTGTTTTATTCTTTAATTATAAGAGTAAAGAGTGAGATTGACTCTTCCAATGTAGAGAGTCAAATTAAACTCGCTATTTTAATTAGTTCAAATAAAGAGCTTATTGGAGATTGGGGTAGGACTTGACTTTTCACTGGTTTTATTTGTAGTGGTAGTTTTTTTTTATTTTTTTGTTGTGGTTTTAATTGAATGGGCCCAACCTACACGAAGTAAATTTTTTTATTTGGGCTTAAACCTAGGAGTTATGTTGGGCTTATTTCTTATGGATTTAATATTTGTTTTGCACTATTAATCTTCACATGTAAATTATAATGACATTCCTTAAAAGTGAGGCCTAAAATCCAAGTTTTCTTAGCCTTATGATTGGGCCTACCCTATATGGAGGAAAATAAAGAAAGTGAAAATTATGATATGCAATCTGATCGTTTTGTTTATCTATATCTATATAATAAAGTAGAACGATTTTGAATTCAAGAGACAAAGAGTGGCTCAGATAGTTTTGAGATAAAAAATGCATCGTCCAACGGCCGACGATATTTCAAACTGTCTCAAACTATTGACGTCTCAGATCATTTCGATCCGACGTACCACATTAGCTCTTGAAAATTTTTTGCCACTCATAACTTTTAGTTTCCCAAACTAACATCCCTNCATTCAACGGCCGACGATATTTCAAACTGTCTCAAACTATTGACGTCTCAGATCATTTCGATTCGACGTACCATATTAGCTCTTGAAAATTTTTTGCCACTCATAACTTTTAGTTTCCCAAACTAACATCCCTAAATTTAATTCTCCAACCCAATCAAATCCGACAATTAAACGATTTCTTATTCATCAACTCTGTCTCTTTCTCCCTAAAATATAGATTGCAACTCTTATCATTATTTTCTATGTTAAGGGATCACTTTCTATACTGAGACATTGACTGTTTCTTACA